TCAAAAGTGGGCTTGAGGATCAACATGTCCATTAAGATTTCACAGAAACAGATGCTTAGGGTTGAGGAGAAAATAATGCATAAACAGGTCAGTACACAGGGTGAGACATTCGGCTAGACATGAATAAAAACTAAAGTAGGAGGGAACACTAAAGACTGAAAGTATTTTAAATACTATGTTTAAGAACTTGTTTTAGAAATTTTACACACACAAAGCTAAATCAGACACTGCACAGAACGCATTAGTTTGCAATGTAATAGCAAAAGGAGAGTGCATTGATTTATATTGGAAGATTTAAATAATGTTAAATATGGCCTGATATTATTAGTTCCACAGATAAGGAAAAGAGAAAACATTAGCTGTTTGTAAGCTTCTCTAACAGATATAGCTGGAACAGAGTATCTGAAGGGATGCTAATGCTTTTTCATTCAGTGAAAGGTTGACAAGAGGCCCCGTTATTCTCACCATGCAACGTGTAATACTTTCCTGCTCATCACCTTTTGTAATGCAAGGAAGAAGAGACAGTTCATGACAACAGTTCTTAAGTGAAATATTAAGATATAGTCTGACTATATTCCAAACTCTAGCAAGTTGCATAGAAAGGAAGGTAGTCAATAGAGTTTCAGTTAGGTGAATTGTTGAAAAATATTCTTAGGGGTGGGAAATGGAAAATTAGACTGAGCCACCATTTTCTATCATCATAATCTCTCAAGGAAGATAATCAGAAGAGCTATATATCTAGACAGTGCTATGAGGAATTTCAGGATAAATGTCATGAGAGAAAAGGAATTGATTAGAGTAAGTAGATGGATTTTATTTTGTGAATAAAGTTTTTATTTTTAAGGATTCAGTAGCCCAACATGCAGGAGAACACAGTTTGCAAGACAAAATAGAGTTAATTCTTTTTCTTCTTATTTTGAATATCAATTCCAGTTCCCCTCTCTCTTCAAACCTCCCATGCCCACCCACCCTCCTCTGTCCCATCCACCATCCAGATTTTGAGAGATCATCAAAATCTATCAAGTCATTTGGGGTAGGGCCTAGGCACGCCCTCGTGTCTCTAGGCTAAGGGAGTATCCCTCATTGGGAAATATGCTCAAAAATCATTTTGTGCACTAGGGATACAAACTGGTTCCATTGTCAGAAGTACCATAGACTTCTCAGGCCTCCTAGCTGATACCCACATTCAGCGCGTCTGTTTCGGTCCTATGCTGGTTTCCCAGCAATCAGTCTGGGGTATATGAGCTCCCCCTTGTTTAGGTCAGCAGATTCTGTGGGTTTCTGTAGCCTTGTCTTGATCCCTTTACTCATCACTCCTATCTGCAACTGGATTCCAGGGAGTTCAGTTCAGTGTTTAGTTGTGGGTGTCTGCTTCTGTTTCATCAGCTACTAGATGAAGGTTCTAGGATGGCATATAAGTTAGTTATCAATCCCATTATCAGGGAAGACTTTAGGGTAGCCTCACCACTATTGCTCAGATTGTTAGCTGGGGTCATTATTTTATATCTCTGGACATTTCCCCTAGTGCCAGGTTTTCTCTTCAAGCCTATAATGGGTCCCTCTATTATGGCGTCTCTTTCTTGCTCTCCTCTATTCTTCTCTTGAGTCATTTTTCCTTCTCCCCTTCATGTTCTCCTCACCTCTTCTCCCCTCTCTCTTTCTCCTAACTCCCTCTCCACTCACTGGACCCCCTCCCAATTTGCTCAGGAGATGTTGTCTTTTTCCCCTTCTTTGGGGGACCATGTGTGTCTCTTTTGGGGTCCTCATGGTTCCTAGTTTCTCTGGTGTTGTGCATTCTGTTATGCTATTTTAGAACAAAGTATAACAGCCTTGAATTATATGCCTAGAGATGATTTTTTTCTTTTAATGAAGACTTTGGGCATGATTGAAGACTTTACTTATACATAGCTGTGATAGCACAGGAATTATTCTGCACTAAAACTTTTCAAGGAGAGTAGAGAGAAGAAAACATTTCAGATAATCATATCTCCTTATAAACCTATTGCTGAACACTATGGTAGCCCTTAACTACCATAGTATACTATAATGTCAGTCAAGAAGAGCAGATGGAGATCCCCTTGTGTGGTAATGTGAATTGACAAATGCTTGTAGGTTATGTTTTAGTAGTAATAGAAGGTAAAGAAAAAAACAATGACTCAAAGCCTGTTGAGACTCAGTGAGCAAAGTGTTACTAAGCTGCTGTTCACTTAAAGATGGCATGAAGATGGAGTGAATAATCAAGTGGAAGGTTGAGTTGGACCATTGCAATTTTAATCTTGGATATATGAGTACTGTCAAGCACAATACTGAATTGTGTGAAAAACCCACTTTATATCAAATATGAAGCAGGAATAATTAAGGAACTAAATCTACGTGTAAAAATATACATTTGTAGGCAAGTCATGCTTTGAATATTTGTCTGACAGAATTTGGGAAGGAACTACAGATGCTAATATGAGCAAAATCTGTTATAAATGCAGAGGGTGGATATAACTGGAAGACAGAAAAATATACAATAAACAGAATTAGAGCTACTGACAAATGTGAAAGGGACAAAGTAGACATAGAAATCAGTGGAGTCTGTGAGGGGCAAATGACACTTGGAAGAATATGTGGGAAAGAAACAATGTGAGCTTATATAGTCACTGCTGGATGATCATGTTTGCAGACACAGGAAAGATCTTGGTATGCATCTTTTGGGCATATAGTCCTTTTGTATTTCATTAAGCAGACAATAATCTCATGAAATGTGTGCAATTTTTACTTAAAGTGTCTGTATAACCTAAATTGATTACTTTCTTCAGTTTAAATTATGAGACTACTTCATCATGGAAAGGAGAGCTATCAGAGAAAAAAGCTGGGACCTTCCCTCCCTTCCCTCTCTCTTTTTCTTCTCTTCTCCCTTTTCTTTGATTCACTCCACACCTTCCTTCCTTCCTTCTTTCTTCCTTTTTCTTCCTTCAACATAACTTTTATAATTGGGAAAGGGAAAAAGGGTATCTTTGTGTTTATACTTTCACCTCCTCAAACCTTTCCACACCATCTCTTTTTACACAACTTATAACATCACTAGATTGTTTTTGTCAAGTTCATAGCTCCTAAATATCAAGAAATTAATTTTTCACACAGAGAATTTTATGATCTGTGCTTATGTTTCTAAGCTCTTCAATGAGTAGAGAATTAATCTAACTCTGCAAACCAGCTGTATGTTTATAGTTAATAGACTTTCAAGAATAGGAAAGGAATATTTTAATTTTCAACATTTCAATCTGTCAATTAAAAATACATCTCAGGGGTGAAATCATATTATTAAAAAATATTCATACAATGTTTATATTGTACCAAATCAATGAGCAATCCCTAAATACTACAACAATTCTAGTGTTCCATTTTTAATTCTGGAGAGTTAAGTCTTACTACTAATTTTATTTTAAGTAATAGAAATAGGGTATTTCTGGTTATAAGTTGTGGAGATGTGTCTCCTAGTTGCAGAACTTTTTATCCAAAAGATCACAATGCCATTCATATGAAAGGAGATTTTTAAATACTCTACAAGGGTTATATTTTGAAAGGAATAAAATGTATATAAAGATGATTGCCAATATTTGGCACGTAGAAATTATGTTCCAAATAGCACTGACATCTTCTTACTAGTCTAAAACAAATAAAAGGATTTAAATAACATCAATATCTACCAACGTAAGCCAGTTCTATTGTAGTGAAACACCCAGCAAATCACATCAGAATGTTTAATTACTATTCAATGAACCGTTCTGTTCAGTGTGTCAGTTCAACTTAGAAACCAAACAAAACACTTCTTTGTTTGTCAAGCAGAGGCCATTAAGACAAGCATGTTCTAAAACTGCATTTGAAGGATGAAATGCTTCATTTGATCTTTTGAATTTTAATGTCAGAAGTTCATTTGCGAAGAAAATTAGGTTCTCTAAAATGACAAATACAGTATTCTAAAAAACTTGGATTAAAAATGAGATTTATAAACTACTTTCCTGAAAGATGTATATACTAATTAATTTGTAAAAGAGTGGCTTAAAAATTTGAGATATTAGGGAAAATAATTTGTTAGCATAATAATTAAAATGCATTCAATTATGGGGATGGTGTTTTGGAGAGTCTCTAATTGATAACTGAATTTGGATTATAATTATCATAAATCACTTTATGTATATATATATGACAATATTTGAAAGTTAAATGTGAATCATTCTAGAATTATTAATAATACTTCAAAAATCAGCAGTACTTGGCCTAAAGTTACAAATGTGCTTTACTTCTAACACAATGATTCAAATGAACTACAAATTTGCAAACACATAATTAGAAAAATGCAGTGTCAAATTCATTTTTGTTCCTAAATATTCACTGACATCTTGTATACTGGGATGTGATCTGAAATCTACATGCATGCCAGGAACTAATGATAATGTTGGGAGTTTCTGGTTTGGTGTGGTCAAAGTTGAGTTCATTTCCCCACAAAGCTGTATACACAACATAATGTCCCTTACATACTTAAATATCCATTGCTTATTTCTATTATCTGTCAGCTTGGTGGTATCTATTATACTTAAACAACACTTTTTTATTATTCTCCTTTCACAATTATGTCATCTTTAAAAATGCCCATGTATTAACAGTCTTTGATTCTTTGATGATCTATAGGTTTTAAAAATATTATTTTTAAGACAGTCCTGCATATGTAGAAGCCTATATTAAAATGTTTAGTTGACTGATACACAAGATTTCTTCTTCTAAAGACAATACAATGAAGAATGCTACTTCTTACATTACTGTGGATATAAATTTAGTAAATGGATATTTGAAATTCATACTGTTGTCATACATATGAAATCTTGTGATAAAAATGCATTCTTTCTTGGTTTTGTTTAATCTTACCTATTTTTATTTCTTTTGCAGCAAGAATTTTGGATAGAATCGTCTCACTGCTATTTAAATATATTCTTTTTTTCTCTCAATTACCACAGGTTTAGTCCCTATGAGTGGTATAATCCACACCCTTGCAATCCTGACTCAGACGTGGTGGAAAACAATTTTACCTTTGCTAAATAGTTTCTGGTTTGGAGTTGAGGCTCTCATGCAGCAAGGTATACGATTCAGCCTGCTATTTCCCTTGGGCACCATGTCCCACTCTTTGCTGGGGTGACAGCTCCTGGCACAAGTCAAAGCTTGCATGGGTAGCCCCTGTGCATGTGTCCATAATCCAGCTTCTCCATCTATTTAATGCATTTAATGGCCTTCTCAAATCCCATTTCAGAGATTCTGAGAAAAGAGCTCTGCAAATCCACATAGAGTATAATCATATCTATATATTTATTAACCCACTACAGGTACATTACTCCATAGACAAGCAAGCTAACCCAATTCATTAGTAGGAAGCTGCACTAGAAAGAAATACTAAAATTACATCTCCTTGAGGCAAGAATCCATTCTACAATACCTGTTTCTTGTCTCAATTTGATGTAAAATATTCTCCTCTTTCCTTATTAATTCTTGATTAGATGCATCTGTATTGCATGATTACTAAATTGCATATAAATTTGTAAATTTAAATATTAATCCATTTCTGTTTCTTTATAAAATGTTAGTTATACTTGATAACTTATAAGAGAATATAAAATACTGCATGCCTAGGAGTGAATGCAAATATGTATTTATTAAACTATTTAAAATTCATAATATGAAGGTTAAATGGAAATTCCATAATTTACAAAAATTATAGCATACATGTAACAATATATCTGTATGGTTG